GTATATATATATATATATATATATATATATATATGTTCTGTCCGTTATATATTTCCTACCAATTACATTTCATTTTTAATATGTAATCGGTTATTATTTGGCATGCATTCATCCAAACTCCGATACTTCCCTCTCTTTCCTTAACTCTTCATACTTCGTTTTTTTTTTTGTTATTTCAAATTTTCATTAATTTTATGGATGATAATGATAAATGCTTCGCTTTATTTATTATTTCAATAAAAAGTTGACATAATGGTGACGGGATGATATATAGGATGGAATAAATGACTGGAAAAGTTTAAAACTTTTGTCGAAAATAATTACAATATTATTCCAGTTGAGGAAGAATTTTCAACAATCATGTCAATCAGTAAGACATCTGAATATATGTGGATTATCTGGATCAACTGAAATGGGAATGAGGTGCAAAGTTAAATGACGCTAGGAACATGAACTTCAAGATATCAAACAGATATCAAAACTTTGAAATAATACTCAATTTGAAATGTGTCCATCGTTTTCAAACTTGTATCAGTTTAAGTGTCATTTTAAGGGAACCATCATGTGCATTCCCATAACATATAAAACTTAATTTCGACCCAAATTCAAAATATTTTTTTTTTTTTTTTTTGTTGCAGTGAATATCTTGGATCTTTAATTCACTGTGTTCTCATAGTTAATGACTTATAATAAGTCATGTTTCATTTAATGTTTTCATATGTCTACAAAAGGAAAAAAAGAAGGAATGTTGAAATGAAATACAATGCAGAACAATAACACCTCAAACAATATCGTTTATCAATAAACAAAAGTGATTTGTGCATCATTTATTACAATGATCATTGAGCAGAAATTTCCACTCTCTCAGACAACCCATCACAATGGCTAATTATGAGGAAAAGAGTAATTAAAATGGAATTTTTAAAAAGCAAAACAAAATAGGAAATGAACAGGAACCGGTTGTTATTTTAAAATGTCATTATCAACCTTCTTCACTTTTTCAATATCCGAAATGTTGTCTGGAATTTTCAAACAGTACAAAACGCATAAATGTGTAACGTGTCGACATTCCCATTCAACATCATTAACTTTAGTCTCGCATATTTGTTATCAAGCTCTCCTTAATCAACACTTATATTTTTATCGCTTATATATTTCTACCACTTCACTTTAGTAACATCAAAATGATTTAGATTAGAAATATTCATGCTAATTGCTAGTCATACAAGGAAAACATACACATTTCGATTAGGTCAGGCAGTTAATTCATTTTTATTCTCATAATTTAAGATTCATTTGTCATTCACTGGAAATTATAACATCTTAACAAAATTAACTTCTTTTTTTTCTCTTCCTTTTATGTAATGTAACAGCAGTGTATTACTCTTGCTATTGTAAATAATTAAAAATACAACAGTGATAATAGCTCTTATCTTGCATGGAAGATTGCAATCAGATTGGTCTACTGCAGAAGCAAGCAAGAATTCCGTCTTCTTTGTATGCCTTATCCCAGATAGAAAGATGCATTTGAATTCCTGAAAAGATCGATGAACAAATAGAAGAGAAATAAATTTTCACATTGAACTAACTTGATCTTAAATACTTCAAACACTGAGAAAAGCCTGTAAGGTTACTTACACGCTGTGGTTTCTTTCACGATATGCAATGGACAGGTGATAGTTATAGTACTTGCGGTTCGTAAGTTAATTAGCAGTGATCATTAAGCGGTTCCAGTCCAATTTTCTTTTCTTCTAAACTAAATGATGGAGACGAAACCTCAGATTAGTCTGATGTTATCAGCATATTAAGGAAATCAATTTTAAAGCTAAGCGAATAATTTTGCCAATTCTTATGATATATCCGTGAACAGAAAGGACTAACAACTCTGTCATTCATCCGAGACATTATACGAAAGTATATCATTGGTTTTCTGCAATTTCCATTGAAATAATACATTATGTTGTAGAATATCCATGGCTCTCGTTTGATCCATTATGAAGATTATGCTTATATCTTATTTTGTTATACAGCAATCAACACTGAAAAATGTCTCAAAATGCACAAAATGTACAAAATGTATTTTTAATTTCGTAATCGTCTGTTTCGAATCGTTTGTTAAAATACGAACCTAAAATTGAACAATTACGTAAATTTGTTGATGCAATATTTGAAATTATTCGATAGATGTTCAACATATGAACGGTAATGGTCTCTTACTTTTTATTACTTTATCTCGCAAGTTAAACAGAAGCCAACAATTGTGGCGATAATGTGAAAGTCGGACCTTAAGGTCTGCTGCTATCCACAAGTTTAAAGCGAAAACCTTTAGCAGCTTGCTAAAAATGTGAAATCTGAAGAAAAAACGTTTAACTTAAATTTTTAGCATGCAAAGGATAAAAAAGGCGCTAAAGCCTCAACAATACAAGCAATTAATATGGTTTTTCAGACTTAAACAGGTTTCCAATTTAGGTCAGAAATTACCTCACAATAATGTCAGCCCGAAAAAATTAACATCCAACAACAAAACAGAAAAGTTTTTTTTCATCCTCTCAATTAAAGCAAATATGTCGCTCATCCTCTGTACTTAACCAATGATACTAAGTGGTCATGCTTTTTTTGAAGTAATTGATTTTCGCAAATGCTACGATATCACCTTATTCAGAACTATGCATTACAAATAGTGCAGCTAAGGTATAAAAAATGGTCTGCCTTGATCTGTTTCGTCCCGTGCAATACTTATTATCAATATTACTTTATTATAATACCACACACTTGTGGGATTCTACAAAACCAAGACAAATTCCGAAAAAAAGATTAAAACAACAACACTAAAACTTATTTTACTTATTTTGAATACATCATGAAATTCACTTCATAAATGTATCATGCTAAAAAAACGCACAATCTACTTTGCCAGACACCATAAAGTGATTGAGCGTAATATAATGGGAATAATTTCTTTGGAACATATGCATGTGTCCAGTTTTGGTACAGCTTTTTCCCGAATGCAATTACATGTTTGACCTATGGGATTGCATACGTCAACCACAGAACTGATTTAATACAAAATGCAGTTTTAACGAACTAAATCCACTTAGTATTATTTTGTAAAACAGGTCAACCTAACAAATTCGTCAGTGACCATTGGACTTCCCCAATGTTTAAAGTTACGTAACGTAGCAAGCTTAATGGAACTTTAAACTCATATCACGACTGCCAAACAATAGTGCTCCACTGACATCCCATACTACTTGCGAAACAGTTTTGTTGTTTTAGGCCACTTAAATTACAGTTGCTAGGATGTACTGCACTGTGCTAAAAAACAACTTATCAGTAGACAAGATTCAAGAAAATTTCTTTCTTGTTCTCATTCAAAACCTTGATAACAATAAACATAAAACCACACGAAACTTACTGATTTTCACCGAACGAAATGTTTACGCATTGTTCATAATGCTGAAAGCTGGGATGAAAAAATTAAAACCAAAAAGATTAAACATTAGCAAAAAATTTTATGGAAGAGGTGCAGAAGAATGGTACAATAAAACGCACAAAGGGAACAATAAAATTAGCGCAAGACTGAATACTGCACAACAGGAAAAAGTCTTCAAAAAGGAAGAAAAAGAACAATCGCCTGCTTTTTGAATCAGCGCAGCAGCAACCTCTCTCTACCGTATGATCTTCATGGCTTCATCATCAGCATGTCCTTCAAAGCTTTATTTTCTCGTACTAACTCCAAGTATTTTCTCTTCAACTCATAATTTCCTTTTTCAACTTCAGCTTCTCAACCGCCGACTCCAGTTCTTTTCTCTCCAACGCCATATTATCCGTATAAGCTTTATGCAACTAAATATCTAATTTGGGTTTTTGAAAAATCACTTTCCATGGAAGCTCGAACTATGTTTTCCCTCCACGCTCTATTCATTAAAATTTCACTTTTACTAAAGCAGTCACATTTTCGCATGTTGCATTTTTGCGTCGCCCGCATTACAAATAACGATCGACGAAGAGAGAGAAATAAATTCAACTACTATTCATTGAGTGTAATTACATTCCACAGTTTTCTACCTTTTTTACTCGAAAGTTCTGAAAACATAGCCTAAGTTCAGGCACTCTTAAGAGACGAGGAGAAATACCTTTCGCAGAATGACGCGATAATTCTCTAGCTTTCTCGCGGCTTCTGACTTGTTATCCGAATTGCCATCTAAATGAATTTGCGACACAATATCTGCCATCTCTGATGGTTGGTGACACTCAGGGCAAGAAGACCAACCCTAAAACAAAAAAAGAAGTAAAAGTCTGACCGGATTCCACACAAATTCTGACAGCAACTCGCAAGGAATGAAACGAAGTCTAGGAAGGATTAGCTGCACGATTACAATATTCCTTTTCTTAACCAGGAAGATCTCTGCCTATTTTCACCAAATTAATCATCCCTTTAGCCCCTATTTTCCACAAATGAAATATGTTGATGAAATGCCAAAATCCTGAGAAAAATACGAGAAGGCTCACGTATAAGAAGAAGTACATGATGCACATGAAGTGAAATATGTGTCCACAATGAAGAGATGAAACTTCGTCCGAGGACATATTTTCCGAACAAATCGCACAAGACACAATGAATCTGCAGTACATTCAGCGGTGTTATTAGCTTTTTTTTTCTTTTATTAGTTTTTAATTTTTAGCTTAAAATCTATGTTCCAAACACTGCAAAATCAATGCTTGAAATTCGAAGTCAGAAGCAGTACTACGATGCTTCTCGCAATTTTGGTTGTAAATAAAGAAAGAGTACTTTTTTGCATCGCATTTTTGCGATGTATTTGATGTGCTCGGGTTATTGGATCCACCTGCCATAATGAACTGCTGGTTGGTAAACTAGGCGGACTGAAAGGAAAATAATCAGTAAGTAGAGTTTAAAACAAAACAGGATCCTTACAATGTTTAAATTGACCAAAATGAAAAATGAAATCTCTGTATCCATCTGATAACATACCATCCCAACGTTCTTGTACCAGGAACTTACAAATCTTTAGATTGAACGGCATGAACAGGCGGACACAACCCACAAAATTTATCCCCTTTTTCAACTGCTACAGCTAGATTTTCGCCCCCCTAAATTGTGCGATGGCAAAGACAAGGTCATAATACGGCACAGATTTGTGATAAGTTGATTGTTTTTCCTTCCCAAAAATGTGCCACAATATACTTTTTACCTGATAATATGCAATTTCCTATTCTTTTAAAAAGTAATGTCATCCTCTTTTCTTCTCCCACTCTCCCTTATCCTCTCAAGTAATTCTATCGATGCCAACCCATGTACAGCCTGAGTATATTTTCGAAGCTTTCAAGTTAAATTAAGTTTGACGAATAAAAACTAAATGACACAGTAGCTAAGATTGAGCCTTTCAATCGGAGAACCGGTTTACCAAACACTTAGTCCGGTAACTGAGTGATCCACAAGCTTCCAGTAAATCTGATGCTACCATATCGAAATGGCCAACAAGCATGGACATTGGTCCGTGCAAGTCAAGCATATCTAGAACACACTTGCTATCATCCCATTTGGAAACCCAGTGTGCTGCCATCCCCAATATGTTTAATTGGATGGACAATTTCCGGCAAAGTTGTCATCAATTTGTCTGCAAAAGCAGTATGTTGAACCGGAGCCCATCTTCCGGCATGCTGACACGATTCTGTTTGAAAAGCTAGCGTGCCGCCATGCTCAATATACTGGACCGGATAGTCAATTTCCGGCAAAGTTAACACCATTTTGACTGGAACACCAAACAGCCTAAAAAACGAGACTCACATGCCAAACCAACCACCTCACAGCCAATCAATGCGCACGAATGCCATCCCACCGATCCATTCCAGGATGTACGCTTCCACCTCCGAAAAACTTTCACTTTGTCACGTACACCAATCATGTTATTTATTTAAACGTGATTGGTCCTAGCACGAAAGCATGGTCACTGTACATTGACCGGTTGTTATTTTGAGTTCATTCTATGCTGGTGAGATGTTCTCTGGTGTTTTCTCGGTGATTAACCTTTTTGCCTTTTATCTGAAATCTGGTTGTGCGAGACAGTCGGTTGGTTCTGGAAATGTATTTTCCTGTCAGGAAATCCAGATGAGTTTGACTTTAATGCGAAACGTTTCGTTTCACCCGGAAACGACAAGATGAGAGGGCATAGGAAATCAAAAGGAAGAAAGCGAATGATCAAAAAGAAATGAACTGTAAGTTAGACATGCGAAACATAGGTCGTATGATGATACATCCAGCTAGATGACAGTTTCTATTAAATGACATTCTTTGTAATTTTAGCTTTTTCTGCTTTCGAGGTTTCTTCCAGCGAATTATTTTGGTGAATGTAAATATTTGCTTGGATATTCTTCTATATGCGTAATTCCTGGGAAGAATTATTAGCATACTGAGAATTTTAGGTTTTTAACCTTTCGTTAGTTATGGTAATCGAGAATGTTCATCTGTTCTGTGTGGCCTATTTCTAGTTAGTCTCACAGTTTTTTGATTTACTTCCAGATCATCGCGAAGGATCCAGCGTTGACAAGACGTGATTTTTACTGGGCAGAGCTCCATAAAAAATTGTTAATGTAGTTTTTGTTTTTTGTTTTTTTTTCTTCTAATAGTTTTTGAGGTTTCAGCATCCTGAAAATTATCAAAGAATTCTGTGTTTCTTTGCCAGCGCAACACCTTTGACTGTCTGCTATTTTGAGTTGAAATTTTCATATATGTTGTTGCCGAACAAATAATTTGGTGTGCGACCCAAATTTGTGTCCCAAACATATGTCCCCTGTTAATTTTTCGATAATCTGGATAATTTGCGAATAATTTACCATGTGTTATTCTTTACGCATGTAGCTTTTTTATTAATACTTTTTTCTTCCTTACAGAAATGCACAGACTACTGTCGCTTAGTGTGCGCCCAATACATATTCAAAGAATAACCACTCTGAACGTAATTCGTCATTTCTCCAGAACTACTACACCACTTCGATGTAAGGTTGAAATCGGCAAGGAAGCGAAGAGTTTGGTTGAGAAAAGAGCCAGAAAATCGGATCCTTTTTCTTCGGACCACAATGAACCAACCATGAAGTTCGTTGGTTTCAAAGAATTTATTAATTTAAAGGAGAGAATTTGTGAAGTGAGAATTATGATTTTATCTTGGTTCTTTTTTTTTCAGCTTCGGACATCATATGGGCTTTCATGGTTTCGAATTGTATCCTATTCAAGGTCAAGTTATTGCATGGGCTATTATACTTGTACTTATAGCTTACTATGCTTCTGCAAAAATTGAAATCGTCATTGATCGAAGTAAGCGCTGTCATTTTTTATCTTTTATTTGCAAAGAGTCGTATATTATAGCCGCAGCTCATCTATTCCCTTTTTGTGCCTTAAGTTCTTAGAAGCTTAATTTTACTGCAGCCTTTCGATGAAAAAAGGTTTTCAAATACTGCTATACTAAAAACTAATTAATCCACTACGTTTATGGCCAAGACTTCCTAACGCAATAATCCCGGAAAAGTGACACTTACCTTTGCAGTTGTATACTGTTTAATTAATTTTCTGGTTTGAGTATGTAGTATTTGTTAGTGTTCTGCTCAACCCTAAAGTAGGGCGCAGTTTTAAAACCTTAGAAAAAAGGAATAAATCTTAACTGTGGCAAAAGCTAATCTTGCGTTTGTAAATTGATACTTGATTAAAGCGTAAAGGAAGTAAAGTTTCATTTTTATCAGACTTCAAGGATGTCGAAGAAACATCATGTACATTCCTTCTTTAGCATATTGAAACTGTGCATCTATTAAAAATTAGCTGTCATTTTCATCACATTATAGTGATTCTCAATTTTTAAGGCTACAAGAACACTCCATTCACTTGGGCTACAATGAAAGATCGTGATCATGATTACGTTGCTTTCGGGTAAAAATTTCAAAAGTAAATTAGTCGTTCACTGAACTTTCCAAGACTCATTGCAGTTCACTGATTGAGAGTTTTGCTTTATCCGATTGGTTTTTAATGAGGTAACACTGGTTTAGGCTGCAACAAATACTGAGGCGGTGGCATTTGTTGGGTATTTTAATGTATTTGGAGGATTAGTTTGCTCTTCATTTTAACGAGCCTTTTGGACATACCAAACAGTGTGTCGGGTGTCTTAATAACTTATTTACACAAAGAGTCTGTAGCACTTTTTGCTTTTTGCTAATGGAATAATTTTTGCAGTTTCGAACCAAAACCAGCAATACCACGTTTGGATCTGATGGAAACACTGCAGGAGGAAATGATTGAGGAAGCAAGAAGACGTGGTACTCGTAAATAAATCGAGGGTTTACACAACTGTGTTAGTTTTGAATCATTCTTTCACTATTTATCATAATATTCTGACTCGTAGTGAAGATGATTGATTTAATGAGGAGCAGTGATTGTTATACTTTCTGCCAAGCTGTGGTTCTATGCTCTTACGATTCATTTCATCTAGGCTTATGTAGTGTTTCTCGTAACATTTTTCATTTTAGATTCAAGACGAAAAACAAATACGATCCAATCTTTTTGTGTTCGTTTTTTTTTTTGGTTAGATTTTTTAAATAGGTGTGACGCGTGGATTTTATCATTGCTACATTAGAATATTGTTTTGAGTAATACCCTCTCTATCTTCCATAACCCAGAGGCTACTTTTACTTTATTTTTCAATATGTTGCAGTATGTTGTGACATTGTTGAATAATTCGAAACGTCTTTTTTTTTAGTTTGCCATTTTTAATGTTTCGACAACTTTTCATTTTGTTATTTAGAATTCCTGGTTCATATTCTCACTTTCCTTTGTTATGGAATTGCTTTTTCACAATATATAAATGTAAATTCTACTCTTCGACAATTTAACTATGTGGTTGGATAAATCCTGTTTCATTATTAGGTATGGGCTATTGAACAATTCCATCAGTGCAGTCTTTAGAAATACCCCAAACACTTTAAATTTACAAAAGATTAAGTGGTGTTTTTAAAGATATGCAATAAAAAAAGTGTCTTAGGGAAGACTTTTTTTGTTTTTTAAAGTGACGGAGGAATCTAGAGATTAAAAGCCGTGTTTTCATAATATGTTTATTTTTTACATTTTTGTATTTTGTGATTGTTTCCTTTTTTTTATTTTGAAATATTCACATTTTTGTTGGTTCGAGGAGCAGTCATAATGCTTTCTGCCATTATGCGTGTGTTGTGTCGCTTTTTAACGAAAATGTTTTGTAACATTCTGTGCTTTTTTAGTCTTATCATATTTATGTACATCACATAAACATCTTATACTCAAACCGTGTCTACTCCAGCCTTAAACAACGGTAATTTTTCTACAAAATGGCGACGAAGAAATTTAAGTCTGGAGGATTTTCCAGATGAAGAAATTATCCTGCGATTGCAACGGTTGTTTTTTCGTTCTCAGAACATTCGCCGTTTCACATGAATGTGTTAGTGGGTTTTCGACATTAGATTTCCTTGTGGTATTGAATTATATCATATATGTTGTGTAAATAGAAATGTCAAAAATTTTTGTTACGTTGAAAATGGAGAAAAAAAAGGAGTGAAAAGATCTCGGCTTTGATAATGTATTAAAGGCCTCTCCCCTGATTAACATTTGTTTCCAGGACAAAAGTCATTTGCCTTCTTTGATATGTTGCTGTGATTAATGCAGAACAAGGTCACAACGCTACTATATTATTTAAAATTCTTGATTGATATAAATCAAGTTCCAGTCATCCTTGTTCCTATGAGATGAAAATGAAGTGGTCTTCATTTCACAATGCTATGGCATACATTACTTCCGATTGTAAGATTAACATTTAGGTATTACATGATTACCTTGAGTTTCTTTTTTTTTTTGTTCAGTCTATTCAAATACCAACCAATTATTAAACGACTGCATATATCTTCATAAGAAAATATTGAAAGAAGAATGCGAAAAGACCTAACCATCAAATAATGATAATTTTTATTTAAATAGATGGAAAATCTTAGAATAAACGGAAGTTAATTTTGCAATGAAATGGAAAGTGGTGCGTTCCTTTCGTTGAAGAAGACAGGAAAGAAGCTCACATTGAGTGCATTTTCCATATAACTTCGAGTGTAAGGATAATGAATGGATGTCACGCTATGTTATTCGTAGCTATTCCACAGAATGATTTCATAGATTTATGCAGATATGCATTAATATCAATTTTAAGAGTTATTCGTTTTTCTAGTCAGAAATTTTTTTTTCCTTGAGATTAAATTAAATTATGAAGTAATCTGTCTTTAGTTTATATCTGTGTTTGAGATTTCGGTATTTTTATTGGATGACAGATCTTCTCAATTTATGTGTGTAGTCAAACATCACTAATTGCTCATTAGTTGATGAGTGGTAAGGAAATGTGATCTGATATGCAAACATCAGAATCTAAAAGTACGATTACTTTGGAGCGTTAATAACAGGCTTTTTGAATTTTATTTTGCAATCGATCGTTTACATTGACATTAATCTTTGGAATTCTGTCATCTAAATTAAAAATTTTGCACATTTTGTCATTTTATTTCATACAGTTGCAATTTACTGATGTAGCAGGCTTTGATGTATTTGTTCGTGAAATTTTCAAAATTTTAGAAAAATTGCATCATTTTATTGGAATTGCATGTTTGCCGATTAATTTTCTCTTATCTTAATAACTTAATTTGTGTAATACATCATGAAACATTGATTCTCTTCATTGCTATCCTATCATTCAGTTTTATTACTAAATATTTTCATCAGTTTACCTCTTTGTCAATAACTGCGAACGATAAACAATCGCTCTCGTTCTTATAATTTCTAAATTCTTTTTCTTTTTTGGATCATGATTACATGAAATTGATTGTTGTTAAACTATTAATTGTAGGGAATTTAATTAAAAATTTCAGACCTTCTCTTGAAATTTGAAGTTAATATATTGATGATTAAACAATTTGACTACAACTTCGATAATTAATCGTTTAGTTAAGACAATATAAAATAGAATCGAAAATGATGTGATGCATATTCTTGGAACTTGCAGATAAATGAAGTGGATAGCGTGATATGATGTTTAGCAATGATAAAATGATACGGATTGTTAAGAATCGAACGAAACGAATGAGTTAGATAAATTGATTGGTCATATCTTAGTCAGGATTAAAGCAGAATGGAATCACTTGTTTCTTAATCACTTGAGGTCTGTTGAAGTTTCAATATAGCGTGATAAAGTAGTGTGATAAAGCTGTTAACTACGAACCATAATTTAATTGCAAACAAATGCGCCACGTACAAATGTAAAATTTGCAGTGTTTTGCAGTCAATCATATTGAATTCTGAAATTTCATCTTTAATACATGATCTTGTGATAAGTTAATTTTAATTGAGTCAAATTTGATAGTTGAAATCATTGCTTTTTCATTTATCTTTTCGCACCGTTTACTTTTCTGGCTTATTTGTAATAAAGTAATTAAGAAAAACATCTTTCTTCTGATTTAGAAACCAATAATTTTTGTCAATTTTTGAAATGAAAGATATGAATGTGATTCGGGTTGTTGAGGATTGGCGATAGTTATTGTAGCTTCTAAAGTCGAAAATATTATTTTCCAATCAATCAAACCATTGCGAATTCAGAATTCGAGATGAGAAGGAGTGGGGAAGAAAAGGGTGTTAAGGTGGTGAGTGGAAAAGTTAACAAATTTTGTGACCGATAAAAAATTTATGGTGAATAAGAAGCGAGAAAAAAAGAGAGAGAAGGAAAATACGAGTATATTCTAATGAAATAAATCGATAAGGCTTTTTTTGGGAGGGGAATTAAGTGTTGAATAAATTGAGAAAATTTTTGAAATATTGTATTTACGACGATGTTTGTTTACTTGTTTGCAAGAAGGACAATGATTGACAGATAATATTGAAAATTAAATGGAAAACGAATTCTTATTGCATTTTTAGAAATTAATTAGCAGAATTGTTACTTTATTTGTATAGAATGATATTTGTATTCAAAAATCAAAAGACTTATCAATCATTGACAACTATTATTGTAATTTTACTAACTAAAAGTGTGGTAAATTATAAGCAATAAATGGATGACAAATATTTCGGAGTTCATATTTATATAGCAATGATTATAATTTCAATATTAAAACATAAAATTATGGCTGATGATATTTACATATTATCACAAATGATGAATAACATTAATACGTTTTGATGTGCTATAATGACATCTGTTAGTTGAACTTTGTTAGTCAAACGAATTCTTTAGTTCATTTGATATTTTGCTTATATTTCATTTATCTTTTCTTTGTTATTTGTCTTGCCAAAAAAATGACCTTATCACTAAAACTTTATTCACTTCTTCCATTGTCTTACAAGTTTGTTTTCATGTTTTTCGTTTTTTCTTTTTATTTTTTTTTTGTTAAATTTTTAATTTTTCTTAACCAACTGGGCTTATTTTGTTTTGTTTTGTTTTTAAACAAGAAAAAAACAACAGCAAAATATTGTGTTCACTGTTCTTTCATTCTCAAACCATCTTATTCTATCCCCTTCATTTCATTTTCATTAAAGAACCTTGATCAGATTATTTCTTATTTGCGTATTTTAATTTTTTTTCTTTGGAATTTGTCTAATGGGTATAATTCAATATTCAAATGTTGTTAATTTTGTAATATGAATAGATGGTGAATTTAATTCTATTTCATTCAGTTACAAAATATAATGACAGGGAATGAGGTTCACTTAAAAATAAGCATGACGAATTAGGAAATCTCATCAGAGCATAGGTGATGTATTCAGAAAATCGAAATTTCAGTGTTAAAATATGGTAATTAATTGGTTTAATTGAATAATCAAGGAATTATTGATCTATTGATTGATTGCTTGATTGAGTTTGTCGAAGAATAAATTAATTGATAACTTCTGCGGAAACTTTATTTGAAAAAAGCTATTGAGAAGATTAATTGGAAGTAGAGGGTAAAAGAAAAAAAAGTGGAATAAAGGGACAAAAAAAAAGCAACAAATCTTTGCAGTGCATGCATTCATCCGAAAAACTTTGTCACGTTTGAAAACGAGAACGAGAATTACTGGGGACAATACTTCTTGTCTTTCATGACTCTTTATTTGAAATTAGAAAAATAAATGAAAAGTGAAATTGAAAATTTTAGAATGGCTTTGATTACAATGACCGCTCGAATTATCCAACAATTTAGATTGCACATTGTAGTCTAACGATATGATCATAAAATGGTCACTATGAAAAAGTTTCATGTTACCAATAATGAAACTTTCTCGTCGAAGATTAGCTTATCATATCTTAATCAATCAATATGTCACATCAGTTTTGTCATAAATCAACATTGCACAACTATAATTGCTACATTTACGCCACAATAGTATTCGGTTGAACTTTTCGCATGATTTGTCTTTATGGTTAATATAAAATTGGAATGAAACATTAAAGTTAAATTTTAAAATTCAACACATATAATTGAATTTAGTGGTTAAATTTTTGAACATAATTTTATATTTTCGTTCCGTTAACAGTAAAATGATAGCATATGGATGAATTTATGAAGGCTAAAAAAAAACAAATGAAAACATAAAAATTGATTTATGCTATTATACAAAGTAAACAGAATTATTTTCAATGAAAATACCGCAGAAAAATAGAACAGAACATTTTCTATTGTATGTAATACTGAAAAATGCATAATAAAATTTTATCCGTTCATTTCAATGCATTTGAAATAATAGTTCCTATTTGAAATTTATCAATGTATCGATGATGCTATTTGAGCAAAAATAAAAATGCAAATATTATAAAATAGCAATAATAAAAACAAGATGAAAAAGAAGAAGAAAGGAAGATGTTATGGCAAATAATAACACAATGAAAGATCGAAAATACTGGAAATTACAAATTCGTAGAATAATTAATTTCTAGAATGA